TGCTTTGTCTTTTCAAAACATATATATTGAAATAAATATATTGCCTAGAGTCATATGCCAGAGGGCGGTGGCTCATGGGCCAATCAGGTAATGCTGACTGCTGAATTCTTTATGCCTCTAAATTATTGTTATTGGCAGAACCAACTTGGCAATAAATTTACTAGACATATATAGCTATTCATGTCATATTTGCTGGAGTATAACACCCCTGTAGCCCGGGGTTTTGCATTTTGGATATCCAATACATTAAGACACTGTCCTTGTTGATACTCGATGGTGGGTGTGGAGCAGGGGTACAGAACCGCTTTCTCCCATTGTCTCGATAAAAATGCCCTGGTTCAAAAAGAAAACACTTAGAAGAAACTGATCTACAATTTGATTCCTGGGCTCGATTCAGTGTACTCGAAGCATAAGATCACCAACCCTTAAAATTAAACCCGTTTGCATTTCCAAGGCCATCACGCATTCATGAAGAGCTATTTCCACGTGATGAGTGCTGGGTAACACTAATCGCTCTTCCCCTGTGTGGACCCGGGGGAGAATATGTACTCAGCACTCCATTGCTTGTCGTATGTGGCGACCAAATTATGCAAATTGTATTCCATTCAGAAGTTTGAATGTGATATTAATCTGCCTAGAGCCCCATGCCTGAAGGCGGTGGCTCATGGGCCAATCTGGCATTATTGACCTCCAGGTTCTATTTGTCTTCAGACTACTAGTGTGTTATAAGCCCCAAAGGAGTCAAATAGGAGTCTAATATGAGTCTATTAAGAGTTGCATGCGAGCACAACGATCTCGATACGAGCTGTACGAGTTTGGTACGATCTTGGTACGAGGTGGCGACGAGCTGCTAAATAATTCGGCGGGAATTACACTCGTACAGCTCGTTTTAGACTCGGCAATACATTTTGCAGACGATCCTCATACGAGTTCTGTACGAGCACCAGGGGTGGTCACAAGGGTACTTCGAGTAGGACGAGTGTGTTACGAGTTTGTTACGAGTTAACTGGGAGTTGGCTGGCGGCCTGCCTGTTTTGAGTTCCAAAACGATCAGTACGAGGTAACCCGAGTTGCCCCGAGTTTAGTACGACCTCGCTGCGTGCTCTATACGAGTACCCCCGAGTCAGCTCGGGTCCGTACTCGTGACGCAACTCGGCAAAGTGTGAGAGCCCCAGAACTCTAATTTACAGGACACATTTTCGAACTTGACAAGTATCTTATAGCGACGCATGCACACTTTCATCTTGTAACTTCAGTAGTTTCTGAGATAACTAGTCCCCATTTCACGCAGAATGCATGAGTGAGGGAGTGAATAAGTGAGTGAGTGAGTTGGGTTTATCGCCGCTTTTTACAGTATTCCAGTTATATCACGGCGTGTCACCTTAATGTGGGAGGAAAGCCCAAAGTGATGCAGGTCTCAGACGTTTACCACTGATCTATCATTTTTTTTATAGTAAAATTCGACAGAAACACAGTATTGTCACCATATGTAGCTAATAGTAAAGGTAATTTGCCAGAGCAAAACCTCAAATGAACAAATATTCTTAAATGTTTGGTTTTGGTTTGTTGTTTAACGCCGCACTCAACAATATTCCAGCTATATGACGGCGGTCTGTGAATAATCGATTCTGGACCAGACAATCCAGAAATCATGGAAATCATGGTATCATGGAACATCAGATGCATCAATCTTGCCCTCACTGTTGAACGTACTGGCCAAGAGTGAGTGAGTTGGGTGTAACGCCGCTTTTAACAGTATCCCAGTTATATCAGCTTAATGAGAGAGGAAAGCCCAAGTGATGCAGGTCTCAGACGTTTACCACTTCGGTGAAACCCACGAGCACGGGTATTGTGCTGATAAACCTAGAAACATAATTGGGGCGAACCGGGATTCGAACCCACAATCATAGGTTTCTGGCGTGCCCAAGGGAAGCAGCTCTGCACAGCGAATCGCGGCGCCTTAGACGACTGAGCCACCCGTGCCCCCGGATCAGGCCAAGAACAATTGAATTGTTTCACATCATTATGTCAGGCTTTGTTCAGGGCGTTTTGTCTGATGTTTTTGTTTTTTAATTTGTCATTTTCTTTGGATAATCAGATATCTTTTAACAGTATTGATACATTTGTGAACAATATGCACATAGCTTTGAAAGTTGTCTTGGCCCTACATCAAACAATCCAGAGGTCCCTTGCCAAGAGAGTTTAGCTGATAGAGTTAAAAGTCAATTCATCTTGCAGAACATATCGCTTGCTACGTGATACCCTAACTGGATTGGTACAAACATTTCAGGCTGCCTGGGAGGTATTGAGGAATAAAACAGACGTTATTCTAACGTTGGGCAATGTTAATTATCACTTACGTTGGGCCAACAATGGCTATCGACGTTGGGCGAACGTTGTTTTGAGCGTAAGCTAAATATCGTTGGCAAGGATACGTTGTCCTAACGATATTTAGCCAACGTTGGCCGAACGTCAGACCGACGATCAAAATAATGACATTTTCTTTGATTTGTGCAGATGTGGGTGGAGGCCTGCAGCCTGGCACTATATTCCCTGAACATAGCTATGGGAAACATCATTACTATGGCTGGACACAACAAAGTAACAAACAACTGTTTTAGGTATGTAAATTAACAACAAAGTTACAAACAACTGCTTTAGGTATGTAAATACACAACAAAGTAACAAACAACTGCTTTAGGTATGTAAATACACAACAAAGTAACAAACAACTGCTTTAGGTATGTAAATACACAACAAAGTAACACACAACTGTTTTAGGTATGTAAATACACAACAAAGTTAAAAACAACTGTTTTAGGTATGTAAATACACAACAAAGTTACAAACAACTGCTTTAGGTATGTAAATACACCACAAAGTTACAAACAACTGCTTTCGGTATGTAAATACACAACAAAGTAACAAACAACTGTTTTAGGTATGTAAATACACAACAAAGTTACAAACACCTGCTTAGGTGTGTAAACATAAAACAAAGAAATTTAAACGAACGATTGATTTTAATATGTAAATACAGAATTCTTAATTTTTTTATTTTGCTTGGTATTATAATGATGATATTTTATTAATCGTTAATACACATATTCTTATGGAGTATATTTCAACTCGTTCATGTGGTGATTGACATTATTATTATAACACATATCAAGATATTTGTTAAAAGAATTCGCACTAGATGACTGCGCCTTCACGATTCACGGGTAGAATAGGTCCTCAGCAACCCATGCTTGTCGTAAAAGGCGACTATGCTTGTAAGAGGCGTCTAACGGGATCGGGTGGTCAGGTTCACTGACTTGGTTGATGCATGTCATCGTATCCCAATTACGATGATCTGGCGCCCCCCGCCGTGATATTGCTGGAATATTGCTAAAAGCGGTGTAAAACCAAACTCACTCACCCACCCAATTACGATGATCTTAGTCACTGGATTGTCTGGTCCAGACTCGATTATTTACAGAGCGCCGTCATATAGCTGGAATATTGCTGAGTGCGGTGTTTACAACAAACAAGCAAACACACACACAACCGCACCTTTCATGCACCCGACAATCTCATACAATGAGTGACTCCGTCACCTCCGAGCAGAAAGCTTCACTCAATCTCCGAAGGGCATCTAACTTTGACTGATTTGTAACGCTCACAGTCTTTAGTGTCCTTGTTATGTCTTATCCTTGTCATTGCATGGCATGCTGGTTACAAGAGAAAGATAGAGTAATACTCTCAATATAGTCAATCGGCAGAACGTTACCATTAACTCACATGGTGCTAATCTGTTTGCTCAGTATGGGATGGGCAAACGAGGAGAGGGCACCATGTGGACATTAAAGGATATATATTAAATCATATCTGTTTCATGTATAAAGTACATGAAGTATATTCGAATGACAGAATGAGGACAAAAAATGATTTCGACTCGACGACATCACGCCAAGTCCAATGGTTGGTTGGTTGGTTGTTTAACGCCGCACTAAGCAATATTCCAGCTATATGACGGCGGTCTGTAAATAATCGAGTCTGGACCAGACAATCCAGTGATTGATATCATGATCATCGATCCACGCAATTGGGATCGACTTGCCGTAAATGGCGACTAACGGGATCGGGTGGTCAGACTCACTGACTTGGTTGAAGCATGTCAGCGATCCCAATTGCGTGGATCGATGCTCATCATATCAATCAATGGATTGTCTGGTCCAGACTCGATTATTTACAAACCGCCGTCATATAGCTGGAATATTGCTGAGTGTGGCATAAAAAAACAGACCAAACCAACTTGGTTTCTTGACTTACAACACGTCATCAAATTCTTCCACCCTTCTTGTACTTTTTACATAAAAAATGTTTGAGTAATGTTACGTCCTCAAAACCGCATAGTTGCTTCGGTAATAGATAATCATATTCGTGTCGGTGTCGTACAATGTTATGCACTAGGGCATCCGTGACCTATTATCCTTGCACTCATTAAAATCTGGAACAACATGACTCAATTTGAATCTGATCCTGGTAATATAACAGTTTCCTGAACCGTTCGCTCCACAGTTACCAGGGTTGGTGATAATGATTGCAGCCGTTGAAGACATTTTCCATGGACTAGCAAAGCGACGCTGGGTTGTCATTTTTGTAATCCTGTTGAGCAACTTCTTGTTTGCCCTTCCCTGCACCACCCAGGTATGGAACAACTGGAACCATTGGCACCAAAATATCCGCAGATCTTCGTATGCAAGTTATCCAAAATGATAACTATATTTGCTATCTTATCTGGTGTGTCCCTTAATGGTATCATAAACTTGAATATTGATGTATGCTTAGGATTTTTCTGCTGTATAAATTAGAAAATGCCAACGCATCTATGCTCCATAATAGCGTCTGGTGTCACATCGTGAATAGGGTATATCAATGCATCGTATCGAATATCTGGGTTCGTTGTATTGTCAGCCGTTTATTGCAGACATTGTATACATGCATGAATGTCTTAGGGTGGAATCTACATTGTGACACTGGTCGACTGGTATACCTACTTCCCTGCCGTAGCTGTATTTGCAATGCTGGAATGTTTTGTTGTGAGTTGGTGTTATGGTAAGAATGTGTATACTTTATTCTTACAATGATTTAGATAATGTGATAATGTAAGCTTAAGCTGTTGATCATTCAAATGTGTCAAATTAATGCCTTAGCAAAATATCTTTACAGCTTTTGAGATCTTTAATGATCTAAATGAGTTATAAATTGCCCGATAGAGTATGGTATAGTTGCAACAAGATTCAAGAGCATTGCATTTTATCAGCTTTTCAAGACATGTAATGTAGAGTTTGTCCGTCACGCTGAGTGCGGCGTTAAACAACAAACCAACAAACCGTCACCTTATGAAAACAAAATATTTTGATCTAAATATCTAATCACAAACAACATGTGTAATGCAAAAAACATGGATGTTTAGCAACATAGATAGCAAAGAATCAGTAACTACTGTTCTTGCTTGATAACATTTATTACCTTATCATTAATTAAAACAATAATTGCGATATTCATTTAACATTGAAGATGACGGTGCTTATTTACTTCTCACAAGAAAAGTCTATGTCATATTTGGGTTCGTGTGTTTCAGGTTTAGATAGACTGAAACGGGATATCATTCTTATGTGGGGAAAGACAGTCCCCCGAGCCATGATGCTGTCTGTCAAATATGTGTGTCCAGTTCTGCTGTTGGTAAGGCTGTGTGAGTGAGTGAGTTATTGTTTATAGTCACATCGGCAATATTTCAGCCATATCGTGACTAAATCAAGTTATATATTAATGAAACACACAACTGAACTATAAAACCTGTCGACAAAGGACAGTAAAATAACTAGATTATCACAGACGTATATTTAAAACTAGCATGTCATTATAAACATTTGAACTATTCATAACAATACAAATTAAAAATGGGCTAAAGATCACCAACAACCAAAGGTAGGTCACCATACTAGGTACCATGGGGACTTATGGTACTTTTGCTACCTACATATGGTACTCCAGCAGGATGTATACCATCCCTCTGGCTACAGGTGATTGTTTGAAAGTTAAGCCAACAATAAGGATTACAAGTATACTACGATTAAAGCTTTGGTAGAAATAAACGTACTTTGAATGATGTGGTCTTACATTCTCTCATAGGGGGACAATAAGGTAAGGCTGTGACACATTGTTAACATCAAACTTTTGGTATTGAGTAATCTACAAGTCAAATGCAACGAGTGGTTTTTTTTCTACCGTATCATTTATAAAAGGGAACACAAGCACGGGAGGATCTTCACAATGTTTTGTAATATCAAACCTCAGTACTCAGCTCAATACTTATTGTAGAGGGTGGGTTTAGCTTCGTTATACGCAACATCTGCCATGATTATATCCACGGTGGATTAGTAACTAATTATGATACTAATCGAAGAAACATATTGCCAGGTTAATCATCCTGCTCAATGGTTATGTACCGATGGTTATCAGCTAAATGTTCACAGAACATTGCAGGCTACATGTATGTAAGGGTGTTCTCTTTCAGCTTAATGATAGTAAAACTATACAAAGGGCAATTAGCAAACTATCTACATCACATTATATTTGCTTCTTTCATCAGGCCATCTTCTGCTACTCCATCTACTCCTACCGGCCCCCTAAGTATGGAGACTACATCTACCCTACCTGGGCAACAGGAGTCGGATGGGTGATATCAAGCATTTCCATAATTCAGCTGCCCATAGTTTTCATCTGGACCCTGTACCACACGCCTGGTTCTACGCTAAGGGAGGTATGTGAATAAATGTTTTGTTTGTTTGTTTGTTTGTCCTTTAACGCCGCACTCAGCAATATTCCAGCTATATGACGGCGGTCTGTAAATAATCGAGCCTGGACCACACAATCCAGTGATGGATATCATGAGCATCGATGATTGGTTTGCTGGCTTGTTTAACGCCGCACTCAGCAATATTCAAGCTATTTGACGGCGGTCAAAATAATCCAGTCTGGACCAGACAATCCAGTGACTGATATCATGAGCATCGATCCACCCAATTGGGATCGATGACATGCATCAACCAAGTCAGCGAGCCTGACCACCTGATCCCGTTAGTCGCCTTTTACGATAAGCATAGTCACCTTTTACGGCAAGCATGGGTTGCTGAAGACCTATTGTACCCCGGAATCCTCACGGGTCGAGCATCGATGAAGGCAATTGGGATCGATGTCATGCATCAACCAAGTCAGCGAGCCTGACCACCCGATCCCTTTAGTCGCTTCTTAAAACAAGCAGAGTCACCTTTTACGGCAGGCATGGGTTGCTGAAGACCAATACTACCCAGGATCTTCACGGGTCTATGAATAAAAGTAGTCACAGGTGTTTATCTAACTGATGAATTGTGTACTGTTTAGCAAGCACCTAGGGTAAATACTGTAACACAAAATTGATTCGTGGATATATATTTGGACATCTATTTGTCAAGAAGAAATCCGTAAGACGTTTTAATGTAAAGGGCTGATTAAATGTTTCTATTCAGAGATTGCGTACAGCGCTTCAACCCAACGACGAGTGGCGTAATCTCACCAGCTGTGACGGGACTCGACAACAAATGCAATCTCTCGAAGCCTGATGAAACACAAGGAAAAATTCCAATATATCCAAATTATACCTTATTGTATATGTTGTATATAACAAAATACAATTTTGTATATTTGGTATATCCAACGGAAAAACCAATAAATGCTTGTTTATTGTTTGCATATACATGTTTCCATACAGTATATCGTTGATTGGTACCGGACCGTATTCTTGACCATAATATCGTAATACTATGTTCATTATGACAACTACATGTTATGAGATACATGTAACTGGTAAATTTGATGGTAAATATAAATTACAATCACACGGCCAGCAGTCCTATGATTGGTTGGTTGGTTTGTTTGTTGTTTAACGCCGCACTCAGCAATATTCCAGCTATATGACGGCGGTCTGTAAATAAACGAGTCTGGACCAGACAATCCACTGATTAATATCATGAGCATCGATCCACGCATTTGGGATTGATGACATGCATCAACCAAGTTAGCGAGCCTGACCACCCGATCCCGTTAGTCGCCTTTTACGACAAGCATAGTCACCTCTTACGGCAAGTATGGGTTGCTGAAGACCTATTCTACCCCGGAATCCTATGAGAACTGGGACATTGGGACATACTTGGGCTATTGTAGTGGCAATATATTCTCCAATCAACTAGTGTCACAAGGGACAGGCACAATGTCTGGGTTGTCTAACCATGCAGGAGTGATGGCTCAATGGCTCAGTGTATTCCGCGTCGTCACTGACTGTATAATATGTCTGGGTTGGTTGGTTGGCTCTGCAAATAATCGAGTCTGGACAAGACAATCCAGTGATTAATATCATGCGCATTGATCCACGCAATTCGGATCGATGACAGGCATCAACCAAGTAGGCGAGTCAGACCACCCGATCCCGTTAGTCGCCTCTTAAACGCAAAGTCGCCTTTTATGGCAAGCATGGCTTGCTGAAGACCTATTTGACCCCGGATCTGTCTGGGAGAGACTATCGATGGGCATTGTGGTGTTGGGATAGGGACACCTTGAGATGGAGATTAATAAAGCCGTGTACTTATTCAAATTCTTAGTAATGGAATAAGAATAATTGGAAGTTGTTTTTTTCCATGAAAAAATGTAAGTGAAATAAGATAGTTTGACAATATCGAGAGAAAAGGCAGGTAATATACTCAAAAACAAAAGTTCCTGTGACAACAATATTTTAGTGTATTAGTTTGGTTTTCAATATCGTAGTACATGTATGGAATCGAGTCACAAAAACGCAACTGCTACAGAAATGCATGCATTCAATGCAAAAGGTGACTTTTATGCAACCCCTATGCATTTCACTGCCCAAAAAAGGGTATAAAAACATGTGCGTTAACGGGATGCCATATGCATTGTTTAGCATCGTGCTGACAACAACCACTCAGTTAAACAAAAAAATTACGCAATTATTCAACATTACGAAATGCCACGCCTGTCTGAAAATGAGCGTCTTCGAGCCATTGGTATGCTTGAAGCAGGATCGAGTCAACGTGATTATGCAATACAATTTAACGTCAACAGAAACACCATTTGGTCTCTGACAAACGAATGCAGTCAGAGACCATCCTCGGAGTGGCAGGCCACGCGTATCCAATAATCGACAAGACAACTGGATTCAAACAACACACCTACGAAATCGATTCCAGCCAGCAACCGTGACTGCAAGAAGCATCCCTGGCCTTCGACGGAAATCTTCACCAACCGTACGTCGTCGCCTCAAATGTGCAGGGATTGTTGCCAGAAGACCCGCCAGACGTCCCATTTTGACAGGAAACTACCGTCAAGCATGTCTACAGTGGTGCAGACAGCTTCTCCGCTGGACGGCCATGCAGTGGGGACAAGTTCTTTTCACTGACGAGTCTCGTTTTCACCACAGCAACAGCGATGGACGGATTCGAGTGTACCGACGTCGAGGTGAACGTTACGTCAATCATTGTGTCATGGAAGAAGATCGTTTCGGGGGCGGCAGCGTTATGGTATGAGATGGGATGACAGCAAGACTGAGGACCCGTTTGAAAGTGGTAGAGGGAAATCTCAATGGACAGCGCTACCGCGACGAGATCATCGGCCCTGTTGTTCTACCGTTTTTTGCGTCGTCACGGCCCAGGCGTTACCTTTCAACATGACAACGCCCGGCCTCATATTGCTCGACTTGTTCAGGATTCTCTTCAACAAAAACAACGTGAATGTCATTCCCTGCCCGGCTCGCTCCCCTGATCTCTCACCAATCGAGCACATGTGGGATGAGATGGATCGGCGCCTTCGACGTCAACCACGTGTTCCACAGACACTCCAGGAACTTCGAAACATGATCCAGCAGATATGGACAGATATCCCACAGGACTTTGTGCGACGCCTGGTCCATTCCATGAGTCGAAGATGCATCGCAACCAGAGGTTGACACACACGCTATTGATTTGTAAATTGACATTTTGGCATGTTCATGTTTTTTTATGAAATCACGCATTTTCTGCAGTCAGTATGGCAAATTAAACCATTTGAGCACTAACAGGAGTCTTTTATCTGTTGCAAACCGAAATTGTTTCAGATTTGGTAAAAAACATAACTTTGCATTAAATCTTATTCAATGTCACAGGAACTTATGTTGTTCAGAATAGAAACATTATCAATAGAACACTTGTAACTGAAATACTTCTAACCACGGGTAGGTAGATCGGTAGTCATTATCATCTGTCTGTGAAACATTTCATCTTGTTTAAAAAGGCATTTTTCTAACATTTCTGTCAGTACAGCTGAAACTTAAACTTGTTGTGAATAGTAAAGAGTCCATGTGGAATAATTGTTGAATATAATGCTTCTTATGAACAGTAAAGAGTCTGTAGCAAATAATTCTTGAATTTCATGCTTGTCGTGAACAGTGAAGGGTCTGTGTCGAATATGCTCTTTTAAAGTGCTAAGATAGACCAAAACATTATGCTAGAAAAGTTGTCTTGTTTTAATTTCGTGCATCCCTGTTCACAGTAAAATAGATTGATCCACATGCCTACCAGCAAAGTCACTCATCCCTGACTATGTCCAATAGCTACTTTTTACCTGTTTTGGAAAATTAGACGATGCGGGTTGATACCTTTAGGTCTGTGCTCAGGGACGGTGTTACGCAATTGGTACATTCACGAAGTAACATTCAACAAACTATCGACTTAGTCTTGTGGTGTTCGTTTTCTTTGGGATTCATAAACAAATCAGTAGATCATTGGTTACGCTGTCCAAACGCGAGCGGATTGAGGTTCTTAGTCTTAATCAATAAATTGCAACTTGTTTTTAAAAAAATCATTGTAAGTAATTAATTTCATAATTTACAAGAAATGAGTGAGTGAATGATTTAATACATTTCATCTTAGATCACGTTAAATTATTTCAAAAGAGAAATCAAATATATTTTTTAATCACATAGGATGCCAGAAAAAATACATTTGATACAGTTTAGTTTAGAAAAAGCATTACATTTTTAAGTAGATCATGCAGTCCGAGTTCACTCGCCCAGGAATTATTACCACTTATATCACCATAGTTTGTTCTAAACATACTTATTTTCAAAACAAATCTGAATCTGGATTGGCAAACAAGCCACAGACCTATTTGAATGCCTCTCCAGAAACATAAATACAATTAACAATAATGAATTGGTTATGTTGTACAAATTCTTCGGGATTTGGCTAAATCCTTCCATACGAGTAGTGTAGGGGTGTACCCTAGTGCCATGGGGTACCCTGGTAACCATCCAAGATGGCGAGGAGGGTTGGGGTTCTTTTTGGTTTTGGGGGGTTTTTTTTGAAATTTTCAAAGTGTTCTTTCGGGACAGTTGGGTAACCCTGAAAAGGGCCGTAGGATCGTGAAAGACTACCTCCTCACCCACATATTTGCTGTGCTGCACAGGCACTGATGGGTCGCCATCTTTCTTCTGACAGGACACTTTGTCTCATGACTTATCTCAACTCCTATAGAGTGAAAACCTCCACCACCACAATTTCCTCCTCCTCAAAATTTTTATTTTTTCTGGTTTTAAAAACAAACGATCATTTTTTTCTTTTTTTTCTTGGATTTAAAACCAGCAAAATTACAATTTTGTCAAATTAAAGTAGTGTTTTGCAAAGAAAGAACTCTGAAACTTGTTCAACTAGCACGAGCACAGAAATGACAGACAATGTTACATCTCAACTCAGCCTCTACCCTCGGTTTGGCTCTCTATTGGAGTTGACCATACTTGCCATGCTTGTCGTAAAAGGCGACTAACAGGATCGGGTGGTCAGGCTCACTGACTTGGTTGATGCATGTCATCGATGCTCATGATATTGATCACTGGATTGTCTGGTCCAGACTCGATTATTTACAGACCGCCGTCATATAGCTGGAATATTGCTGAGTGCGGCGTTAAACAACAAACCAACCAACCAACTATTGGAGTTGAGATAAGTCATGAGACAAAAAGTCAGTTCAATGAATCAGCTTAATGAAAGCAACATCAACATATATACATAGAAAATACGAATCAATGGACAACTGCTGAGGGAGTGCTTTAAATGTCCCTCGAAGAAACCAACAAGTCTGTCCATGGCTACGTACATCCATTGAACATGTTGTTATGACGACAGTTACTACATTCACGCTGTGTTGATCTTCTTGAAAAAGAAGCAGGGTGGGTGTGTCCACATCCATGGGAATTAGCGCGTGCTTCATCGTAACTGATCATAATCACAGGTGGGTTAGGTGCTGTTTTCCAGGGCCCCTCAGTAAAACAGGGTTCCCACCAATATTCCAACACTGTCTGTGTTGACCTGACATCGGGGGAAGGAAGGATGGGTGTCCTGCCAATCATACAAGAAAAGAACCCTTAAGTATAACAATGATAACCGTTCATACATTCGTTTTTCTAATGGGACTGTGGCGTAATAATTCATGCATTCGTCATACTAGTGGGACAGTGATTGTAAACTTTGAGGTGCAAGGTCCCCGTTCGTATTGTAGCGCAAAACGACGGTCGTTAGTCAAAGTATGTGAGTTGCGATAACCTTAGCGCTACGATAATTTTGTTAAAGGGACGTCTGAATTCTAAAGGTGGACCGTTGTATGTTATTTAATTCATATACTTGATACAAATCCAGACATTCACATACACATACAATAGAATAGCATGGTACTTATAACTTTAGATTGCCTGCATGTTAGACCAAGGGGTGAAAACTCATTCTACTAGTCAATGGGCATCTCTTACAGTCTTAGTGCAACGTCCTGATGGCCGTTACTGATTTTGCTGCAATTTCCGCGCTCTAACTTGTTTGAGCAAAAGAGATGCCTATCCGTTGCCAAGAGTAGATGACTGTATCGACAGTCTCGAAGTAGCAAAACTTTTCTGCACGATGGATCTTCAAGCAGGATACTGGCAGGTAGAGATGCATCCCAAAGACCGAGAAAAAACAAATTTTGTGACAAGATCAGGCTTGTACGAGTGGACTGTTATGACATTTGGTTTATGCAACGCACCTAGTGGAGACTGTCTTAAGAGGTATGCAGTGGATTGAATGTCTATGTTTTCTAGATGAAATAACCGTCTTTGGTACCAATTTTGAGCAAACTCAAGCACGTCTTGAAGCTAAAGCCAAAGAAATGTCACCTCTTTCAGACACAAGTCAATTTCTTAGGACATGTCATTTCCTCACAAGGCATCCACACTCAAACAGATAAGATAGAGGCTGTACAAACCTGGCCAACCCCAAAGTGTAGGAAAGACATCCTCAGGTTCCTTGGATTTGTCGATTACTATTGGCGGTACCTAAAGATTTTTGCCAAAATAGCAAGACCTCTTTCACCAGTCATTCAGTTGATTTTGAGTGGAGCGACCAAGCTGATGTTGCATTCATGCAGCTAAAGCAATCACTCATATCAGCTCCTATACCAGGATATCCTCGAGTTGACAGTCAGTTGACGATCGATACTGATGCTTCAGTTGAGGGGCTTGGAGCAGTATTATCTCAAGAGCAGAAAGGCCACGAGGTTGTGCTGGGATATCTAAACAAGACCTTCTCACCTGCAGAGAGAAATTACTGTGTAACAAGGCATGAACTCTTAGCAGTTGTCACTGCTTGTAGGCACTGGCATCCATATGTATTCCGAAGACCTGTGATCATCTGAACTAATAATACAGCAGTAGCCTGGGCTAAAAAGATAAAGAAGCCTGTAAATCAAATGGCTAGTTGGCTTGATGAATTGGGCAACTACGACTTCCATGAGGTACATCGTCCTGGGCGAGCTCACTGGAACGCTGACGCCCTCAGTCAGAAACCTCCAGGTCCATGTTCCCAGTGCAAGAGAGAAGATGGTACTTGCTGTGATCCTCCATCAGTTGAAGACAATGTCACATCCTCATTATGTGGGGCAATCACCAGATCACAATCTGCAAAACAAAAGTTTGACATTAACCAAGAACAAAGGAAAACATTGCAAATGGATGACCCTGGGATCTCAATCACAAGGCTAACGAGGCAAATATTAGGCCTGATTGGGAAGAAATCTTAGGTAATTCTGAAGTATGTAAAGCATTATGTGATGAGTTTAACTGATTTTCTCTCAGAAATGGTGTTTTGCATCGCAAATTTGAGAACAGTGAGGGAAAAAGATGGCATTGGCAAATCATTGCGCCTGAAACAAACCGTCAGTCGATAATATCGCACCACCATGATAGCCTGATGGGTGGACACCAAGGTGTCAATCGCACCCATGGCAAGATCCAGCAGTCATACTACTACGTTAGAATGAAGCATGATGTTAAGAATTATTGTCGTCAGTGTGATAAATGTGTGGCTAGAAAACATCCAGCAAAATGCTGAGCGCCCATGAAGGAATATGTAACCGGATCTCCCATGGAGCGTCTCACGGCTGACATAATGGGTCCACTTGAATGCACTAAGTCGGGGAACCGATTCATTGTGGTTGTCACGGATGCATTCACAAAATGGACGGAGGCATATGCAGTGCCAAACATTGAGGCAAAAACAATAGCCGCAAAGATTGTTGAGGAATGGGTGTGCCGATTTGGTGCTCTAGCTTTGCTGCACAGCGGTCAAGGGAGACAATATTAAGCTCGTCTTTTCCAAGAGATGTGCAAATTGCAGGGAGTGGTAAAAACGAGAACCGAAGCTCTCAGACGTCAAGCTAATGGTCAGGTCGAGCAGTTCAATAGCACACTGAGCTTCATGTTAAGCATTTATGCGGATGGGAAACCCAGAACATGGCATTTAACACCTTCCATTTGTAATGGCTGCTTATAGGTCATCGAAACATTTGAATCTACTCACTTCAGGCCAAATGAGCTAGTACTTACTTGGTAGGGATGTACGATTTCCCGTTCATTTATTGACAGGGAACCCTAACTCGACCAACATGGGTTGATGACTTATGTTTCTGACTTGCAGGAAAAGTTTGATCATGCTTTTACAACCGCGCGTTCCCACCTGAAACATTCAAAGCAATCAAACCTGCGAGTTGGTCAACCTGTTTGGTTTTACAACCCAAACAAGATTATGTCAAAACGGAAGAAATGTGTCACTTGTTGGAAAAAAGGTTGGGTCAGGACAAAGAAAATTGATGACATTACCTTTAGGATCCAAAATGGTCGAAACAATACACCTCGGGTGGTAGATATTGATAGATTGATGCCATACGAGGGAAATGATCCGCCAACTTGGTGTACCTGTTAAGAAATATAATGAAAGAGTTATGACAAAATCAAATACACATTATTTCTAATAGACACAATTACATAAAATAAACTTGCAAATTTAAGGAATGGCCGCAGTAAAGATGCTGACCTTATTTGCCTTGCCTGTTCTTTTAATCTGTTTATAGATTTATGAAAGATTTGAGCTTGTTTACTACATCGTAAGTGGAGATGCATGTTGGTTGCATTGTACATATAAGTAGATGATGGAAACGTTAATTTGTCAAGATAGTACCATCAAGGTGTTGGTGGGAGATTTAAAATTTGTGCTTGTCGGAAGCTTTCCCCACTAAACCTTTGTGTATCTATTTTGATTAAATAATTACGAGATATTTTTGGTAATGGACCAAACCTAGGAATTATAACTTATAGTATTGAAATGTTTTTATTGATGCTGGATTGTGTCAATATGATACAATAGATTTATCCCTAATATTCTAACAGGACTATGGAAGTCTTTGAAATCAAGGTAGACAACAGGGAGTTGGGGTAAGACGGAGACATTGAGGGGGCCAGGGACAAATTCCATTAAATTTCGTCCAGGCATGACCTGCCCTGTGTGCAAGGAAGGAAACTACAAGGAGAAACACCACCTCGATGCTCACTGGGCGCAGGTGCATCTGAGATTTCAGAAGCACTTTGCCTGCGCTCAGAGTGGTTGCCGAACATCTAAATCAACGAAAAGAGCACTCAAATTCCATGCCGCAAATGTGCATCTGATGATGAGAGTGATTAATGCGACAGTTCTGTTCGGGGGCAGAGATAACTATGGAGACGAATGAGAACTTCATTGACCCTGCGACCATTGCCCTGTCCTGGCAAAAGTGGAGGCCACGAGGGTGTAGAGGTCGGACCAAACAAGTGGCCAAGCAGGAACAGAAGAGCAACCGACCTATCAGCACTGTCATCAGAGCGCCTGTTCCAGAGATACTAAGTTCATCATCCCTGGAAGCGAGCCTTCAAGAGAGCAATGTGGCTCTGGAGAGGACTCTAGCAGAGGCAAGGACGGCTACTGTGAAGGTCAGAGTAAGATTGCCCAGGTTCGAGGACATATCAGAGGATAGGAAGGCAGGCAGGCAGGCGAGTTCGTGACAGACGGTTGGGAAAGCATTAAGGTGTTGCAGGCGGCGGCAAAGAGATTGAGTTTTGTTGTTGTTTTACGCCGCACTCGGCAATATTCCAGCTATATGACGGCGGTCTGTAAATAATCGAGTCATATGAAACCAATGAACTAAACCGTCACCATCTGTTCTTGTCATACAGATGACCCGTGAAGATTCCGGGGTAGAATAGGTCTTCAGCAACCCATGCTTGCTGTAAAAGGTGACTATGCTTGTCGTAAAAGGCGACTAACGGGATCGGGTGGTCAGGCTCGCTGACTTGGTTGATGCATGTCATCGATCCCACGTGCGTGGAGCGATGCTAATGATGTCAATCACTGGATTGTCTGATCCAGACTCGATTATTTTACAGACCGCCGTCTTATAGCTGGAATATTGCTGAGTGCGGCGTTTAACAACAAACCAACCAACCAACCTTTGCATCGCGGTACGAATTTCTTCTGGGTCTTTTGGCCAAACAAACCAACAAACTTGTCATACAGGTGGGTAATGGGTATGAGAAATACAACTTTTGATTACATGGTCCCATTGCCACTGAACCTGCCCTTTTGTAGAAAAATATTCTGCAAACAGTTCCAACATTGGCAGTGTTTCTGTTTCCCCCTTGCTGGACAAGTGATGTTGTTCTACTCTTAACAGCAGTCATATCAGTGTTGTTTGGTTAACATTTACTGCGCAGGAAGTTGTGAAGGGCTACAGTTGCCATTTTCCGGTTCAACTGTAATCGTTGTTTGAAATACAGCAAACCTGTCAATGAGAATTCCAATTTTTTTAGTAACGTTGTTTGGTTTGTTGTTTAACGCCGCACTCAGCAATATTCCAGCTATATGACGGCGGTCTGTAAATAATCGAGTCTGGACCAGACAATCCAGTGATTGACATGAGCATCGATCCGCACAATTGGGATCGATAACATGCATCAACCAAGTCAGCGAGCCTGACCACCCGATCCCGTTAGTCGCCTTTTACGGCAAGCATGGGTTACTGAAGACCTATTCTACCCCGGGTTTTCACGGTTCCCTTATTAGTAACGAGTCTTAATTGCTCTGGGAAGCCGATAATTAAAAAACCCTCCTTGTCCTCAGTGGTATCCCTCAATAGAAATGGTTTCATTATACATGCCTTTGAATATTTTTTTTGGTGGGAAGGCATCATCCCTAACAATGACATGGGGCACAGGTTCCTGGCGATGATCATGTCACTCACTGGATTGTCTGGTCCAGATTCGATCATTTACCGCCGCCATATAGCTGAAACATTGCCGAGTGCGGCGTTCAACAACAAACCAACCAACATACACTGTGGCTTTCCGTTGGGTCCTACATCTGCATTAATGAACTTAAAATTTCCATCAACAAGTGACAACAGAACAATGCTGAAGAAAGTTTTGGAGTTGTAGTGCAACGAACCACTGTTTGAAGGGGTGTTTTCCATCAAGTGCTCCTAGCTTTACAGTGTTGTCTATTTATTTATTAGTTAATTGTTTTTTTAATTTGGAGGGATGACATTGTAGATTATGTTTGTTTGTTGTTTAACGCCGCACTCAGCAATATTCCAGCTATATGACGGTGGTCTGTAAAATAATCGAGTCTGGATCAGACAATCCAGTGATTGACATCATGAGCATCGCTCCACGCAATTGGGATCGATGACATGTATCAACCAAATCAGCGAGCTGACCACCCGATCCCGTTAAGGGGCATTCACACGGTACAACTAGTTATATACAATTTGTTGCATGCAACTAGTTGCACGAACTGAAGTTGTATACAACTCAGCATTCACACGGCGGCGAGTTGCATACTCGGATCTCGCAAGATTTCAAATCTCACGAGATCTCAATTTATAAGACGATGTTATCATGGCGTCTGCGTATGACTATTATAGCGGTGACGATATACTTGAGATTGCCACAGTTGCGTTGCTTGCGGATTGTTCACAAGTTAGAACCAAGCGGTCATGTTGGGTCAGGCCATGGATTGCTAGGCGAGGGCAATTTGGAGCATACAGCGCTCTTTTGGCTGAGCTCGAAGCCGAGGATACAAAGGCCTTCTCCAATTTTCTTCGCATGAACAAGTCAAGCTTCACCGATCTCCTAGACCGCGTGTCACCTCTTATTGCCAAAACGGACACCCCCATGCGTGATGCCATTCCACCCGGTGAGAAGTTGGCCATTACTCTCCGCTATCTTTACCACCGAAAAGAGATCTATTGTTTACCCGTGATAAGCTGTTATTGAAGGGCAAGGGCACGATGAACAGGCAATACTCCTCACATTGTACAATGGCATAATCGCTTGTTATACATCAACGGAATAAGTGTGCGAGGAGCTTTGAACGAGGGTCTAAATGTGTGCCCGCCAGCTTTTCGTATATATAGAGGTTATCACGCGAGTGTGTTTGGGGATGGTAAATATCCTGCATTAGGAATAAACATTGTATTTAGCGAGCCTTGGCGAGCTAAATACATAGTGTTTATTCCTAATGCAGAATATTTACCATCCCCAAACACACGAGCTAAATACAATGTTTATTCCTAATGCAGGATTTTTACCATCCCCAAACACACGAGCGTGATAACCTCTTTATCATATAATGTCATTCTTAACTTTTACCGTTGAAAAAAGTATTCTCATCTCCCACAAACATTGCAAGTTTTCGTGAAATGTGCGCATTAATATATTACGTCACACAGTAAGTGATAAGTCACTTAGACTGGTTCCCGTTCGTTCCGGGAACCAGTCTATTGTCAACCGGACATAGACAACAGACAATATAGTTCCAACAGAAACTTGTATTTTTAGACACTGATTATTGGCATCTGAGACTATTTATTTGATAATGAAAACAAAAACGCGTTATGAAGGGAGAATGTGCTTCAATGAACGTTTGAAAATAACTTCAAAGGTTTGTTTTGGTTCAAATTTCTGCACGTGGGCAGTGTAACGGGTCATCAAGTTAGGAGGCGAAACAACGACATCAGTCAAGAGTTTCCTGGCTACTGACTGTTTCCTGCCAGACGCCGGTATTTTCGCGGTGGTGAGGGTTTCTGCTCAGGAACAACATTCACAGTGATGTTTCCCCCCATGACACCGCCTGACACATTCACAGTGATGTTTCCCCCCATGACACCGCCTGACACATTCACAGTCATTTCGTTTTGTGACCGAGTTGTGGAAGTCGCACATGGCGCGGCCAAGCCAAAGGTGCCGATCGGTGGGACAGGATAGCACAAGGCAGGATTGAATGAACTGAAACTGGGTCTAGTTGTATCTGACAGAACTCGGGAGATGTCACGATGTTGCTGTTCATTTAGTTTACTGTAATTGTTTATTGATTGCATGTTTTTGTGTCCCGAAAGCTGCATTATTTGATTGGGAGGGACGTTGCAGTCTGACAGTTTTTGAATCAGATATTTCCTTGCGCTGTGGTTTGTAAGGCGTTTGGATGTTTCGAGTGCTGCCGACTCATTCATGGATTTCATAAGTGAACACACTTTTCTATCTCCAATTGGTTGGCGACGAAACCATGTGTTGGAATCACCATATTGTGCGTTTGGACCAAGAGTGTTTGTCGAAATGTAAAAAGGATCATTTGGTTCATTATAATATCAAGCGGACGTTTTGCTGCATACACCTTGTAGATTTTAACAACACACCTATCAGGATCGTCAATATTTTCCAACATTTTGGGAGTAACATCCCGGATATCCTTTGGATTTGTACCTGGACGTGTCTTCGTTTGTTTTTCATTGAAAGTGAGAAACTCCAACCCGTTTGAATCACGTTTCAACAACACATCTCCCCAACACATGGATCGATGCTCGTCCCCACCCCTGAGGCCAAAGTGGACTGTGTTGTGAAACCACAGTGTGTTTATGATTGCATGGGGAGAGTGTGCGCCAAACTGACCCGTTTCCCAAAGTTTATTCACTTGTTCGTCGGATAACGGATCTGATCTGTTGGGTAGGTTGCCTTTCCCTTTCTTTTTGAGAGCTATTTGTCGACATTTCAGAACTTCCCGTACTTTGCCAAACTCTGGGGAGTAGGAAAGTGTACACCCATATTCTTTTCGCTTCAAATATCTGTCAATGATCGATATGTATGACCGAAGGGTTAAAGGTTCGGGGTCAGAGCCGTCTTTCTTCGTTATGCCAACGAGAAATTTGCATATGTAAGGTGAAAGTTCACATGGGGGGATGGTCTCAATAGGCCTATGTTCATTTTGAGAGGAAAGAAATTCGCCCACAAGGTTCATTGTGTACAAAGTCTTTTTTGCGGTGTTTTTGTTTTCGTTTGTCTCAATGATTTCATCGATATCCTCATTTACAACTAAACGAAACCTTGTATTCGTCTCCGTCTGCTCGGATACCGGCATTATCGGACGTGTGACTGGACATGGAATCTTACTGAAACGATCCGCATATGACCCCAACGGATATCGTTTTTATCCGTTGGCTTTATCCTGCCGAGAAACCTACCCATTATATGATAAGTTATTGTATGTCACGTTACCTAAAGGAAAGATTAGGCCAATCACTACCTCCAACAAACACATTGCTACATCTCATCATACCAGTATATAGGCAAACAGTAGTGAGTGAGTGAGTTATTATTTAACGTCACATGGGCAATATTTCAGCCATATCATGACGAGAAAGTACATTTATGATACATATATGATACATATATTTAAACTGAATAAAAAGCTGTCAACGAAGGACAGTAGAATAACTAGAATATCACAGACTTGATTTAAAACTAGTTGAGAATATTAAAAGGCAGTAAGCATTAATGAACATCACAATTTAAAAATGGGCTAGAAATCGTCAGCAACTGAAGGGAGATCACCATACTGGGGACCATGGGGACTTACAGTACTTTTGCTTCCTGCATGGACCCCGGCAGGATTTATATCATCCCTTCAGTCACTGGCGACAGTGTACCAGTTAAGCCTTAGATTAAAATAACGA